TTTGTTTTTTTTTTTTTTGTTTTGGGGGGGGGGGGGGGGGGGGGGGGGGGGGGGGATGTGAAAACTGAAAAGCATTATTTGAGTCTGGAAAAACTATGCCCCTTTGGTGGTTTAAATTTGATGCTGGCTTTAGAAAGATAAGGCCTTGAAGTCTTGAACATATTGGGGACGCATAACCTATTAATTGTTTATGGTCAACACTAAGTTTAAAATTAAGTTTCCCTTAAGAAGCTTTCTGTAAAGAGCCTTCAAAATGTGGTCTACTGTGGGAATACCAACTAGTTTAGAACTGCTTTTTGATAGCCTGTAACATATTAAAGGAAATGGAAGTATAACCAGCTCCCTTTTGCTCTCATGTGCTTTGGGTGTTGTAGTCCTCAATGATAACTGTTTTTCTTCTGGCCTGCAACTGAGACAAGTTGAGTTGAGTCAAGTCGAGTGTTGGACAACTCAAACTCAGGTTAGCAAATTTTTTGGCACTCAATCTTAGCTCGCGTGTTAGTCATCTTGTTCCAGTTCGGTTCGTCACTACTTGCTAAACTAGAGCTCAGCTCATGAGCTATTTATACGTTACAAATCAACCAGAACTAATATATAGATGTTAAAATTCAAGTTCAAATATTGTTGGACTTGCATGCCTAAGAAAGGTCTAATGATTTTCATCCACTGTTGATACAGATTTTCTAGAAGAATTGTATTTGAAGGAGGGCATATTGTTGATCCAGATCAGGTACAAATTTATTTTTAGTCTCATGTTTAAGCGACAAGAGTTGTGTACAATGATCAAAATTTTGTTATGTTGCACAATTTCAGTTAGTTTGGAAACGGAAACAGAAACATTTTTGAAATAGGATGGAACAAAGAAAAAATTGGAAATTTATTTGTGAAATATTCTGCAAGATTGCAACATTGTCAAAACATACCGAAACACATCAAAATATACTGAAATACATCAAAACATAGAAATATTGTTATTTAGTCACTTATTCGTTTTGGAGTTTCAACCAGTTAAAAAAAAATTACCTCCTTGTAACTTACAATACTTGACTTTCCCTACCTTTATTTCCAGGGGGAGTTCCTCTGCCCTGTGTGTCGTGGCTTTGCAAATTGTGTGTTACCTGCATTGCCTGGAGATTCTAAAAGGGGTTGTAAGCTGCCAATTTCAACTGTGGGTCCATCTGATGCTGCAGGCTCATTAACTTCATCAAACAGAATTGTTGGTTCTCTGCATCTTCAACAAGCCTTGTCTCTCTTGCAATGTGCAGCTGATGTAGCGGGAAGGAAAGAGATTCTTAAAGCTCTTCCTATGCAACGAAATGGAAGGATTAGGCCACATTTAGAATATGTATTTCGTATACTTCACGGGATGTATTTCCCAGGCAAGGATAAGATTCCAGGATCTGGTAGGCTGAACTGCTCGCTGATTTTGTGGGACACACTCAAGTACTCACTCATATCAATGGAAATTGCTGCTCGCTCTGGAAGAATTTCTTTGACTCCATATAATGCCATTGGTACCTTATATAAAGAACTCAACTCTTCTAGTGGGTTCATATTATCCTTGTGGCTAAAAGTTGTCCAAAGCATGCGATCTAAAACCTCTCTTAGTCTCATTTTAAGATTAAGAAGCATTCAGCTCTTTGTAGAGTCTATATGCTTTGGTGTTTCTCAAACATGCAAAGCAAGAGGTAAGATATCAATTATTGTTCCTTTTCTTTTTTTGGATGAGTTATACATTTATTTGTTTCAACGGATTAAACCGATATTTGCCTTAAGTTTTAGTTGTTCACCTTCCAAAATTTTGATTTTGCTGTTCTTTATCTTCATGGAATATGTGCACAACTTGTGCTGGCAAATACCAATCAGTATGCTTCTGTAGTGAATTAATTTAATATTTAAACATTAAATAACGGAAAATGGATTTTAAATTGAGAAAAACCAAAATCTTGATGTGATTTCTGAAACTGTTGTCAGTGGTTACATATCATTGACAAGAAATTGATTAACCTGCTTTTATTTTCATATATTTGAATGCCTGTTTTAAAAAAATTCACGGTGATAGTCCTTTGTCAAAAAGGCAAGTCAACGCCAAACTTCTTGATCACAATTAGATGGTTATTGTCCACCTCCTAGTTATCTATTTTTCCTTTCAAGTCACAGCAATAGATGCTTCACAATGAAGCTTCTGCTTCTACCTGGCCATTCCATATATAGTCCTTTCATCAGCTGATAAGGTACAATAGCAACTTAAGTCAGTATNAATTTCAACTGTGGGTCCATCTGATGCTGCAGGCTCATTAACTTCATCAAACAGAATTGTTGGTTCTCTGCATCTTCAACAAGCCTTGTCTCTCTTGCAATGTGCAGCTGATGTAGCGGGAAGGAAAGAGATTCTTAAAGCTCTTCCTATGCAACGAAATGGAAGGATTAGGCCACATTTAGAATATGTATTTCGTATACTTCACGGGATGTATTTCCCAGGCAAGGATAAGATTCCAGGATCTGGTAGGCTGAACTGCTCGCTGATTTTGTGGGACACACTCAAGTACTCACTCATATCAATGGAAATTGCTGCTCGCTCTGGAAGAATTTCTTTGACTCCATATAATGCCATTGGTACCTTATATAAAGAACTCAACTCTTCTAGTGGGTTCATATTATCCTTGTGGCTAAAAGTTGTCCAAAGCATGCGATCTAAAACCTCTCTTAGTCTCATTTTAAGATTAAGAAGCATTCAGCTCTTTGTAGAGTCTATATGCTTTGGTGTTTCTCAAACATGCAAAGCAAGAGGTAAGATATCAATTATTGTTCCTTTTCTTTTTTTGGATGAGTTATACATTTATTTGTTTCAACGGATTAAACCGATATTTGCCTTAAGTTTTAGTTGTTCACCTTCCAAAATTTTGATTTTGCTGTTCTTTATCTTCATGGAATATGTGCACAACTTGTGCTGGCAAATACCAATCAGTATGCTTCTGTAGTGAATTAATTTAATATTTAAACATTAAATAACGGAAAATGGATTTTAAATTGAGAAAAACCAAAATCTTGATGTGATTTCTGAAACTGTTGTCAGTGGTTACATATCATTGACAAGAAATTGATTAACCTGCTTTTATTTTCATATATTTGAATGCCTGTTTTAAAAAAATTCACGGTGATAGTCCTTTGTCAAAAAGGCAAGTCAACGCCAAACTTCTTGATCACAATTAGATGGTTATTGTCCACCTCCTAGTTATCTATTTTTCCTTTCAAGTCACAGCAATAGATGCTTCACAATGAAGCTTCTGCTTCTACCTGGCCATTCCATATATAGTCCTTTCATCAGCTGATAAGGTACAATAGCAACTTAAGTCAGTATACATAGTTTTTTGCAAATGAAAGTATTGGTAACCAATCACAAAAAAAAAAAAAAATCATGTTATGGATAAAGTTCGAGGTTAAGGTCATTTGAGTGTGCATTGTAAACACAACACTAACTGTTAAACACATGATGTGTCTAAACTTGAATAATGAAGGTCTAGGCAATCTATATTTTGGAGCATCCTGCTTTATGATGAATGCCATCATTTTACAAATCTTCAGAGAAACTGGACTATCGGCTATATGATTGTATTGCCTGTCATGTTGATGCTGTGATTTCAATAATTTTGTTTCATTGATGTACATTGCACAGGCAATATGCTATGCATCTTGGCTAACACTGAAGTGGAAGTACAATATCCTGACATTCAATTTTGGAGACGGGCTTCTGGACCTGTCCTTGCACATGATGCTTTTTCCTCATTGATGTGGATACTATTCTGTCTTCCATGCCCATTTTTGTCATGCGAGGAAACTTTCATATCTCTTGTGCATATTTTCTACGTTGTTTCCATTACTCAGGTTATTAGAGCAGTTTATTTGTTTAAGCAAGTACAAAATATGATCCTGATGTTTCTTTAGATGAATTCTGGTATATTATGCTGTGTCGTGTTGCAGGCTATAATAACATATTTCCAAAAGCATCAAGGAAATATAACTGAAATGGGATATCATGATTGCCTAATAACTGACATCTGGAGAAATATGGGAGAATACAGAGTTGCTCAAATGTATTTCGATTCCAACTATATCGATCCTTCTGGTGATATCAAGGATATCATACGTCAGCTTAGCCTTCCTTACTTGCGAAGATGTGCATTGCTGTGGAAATTAATAAATTCTTCCACTTCAGCACCATTTAGTGGTGGGTCTCATGTGTCAGATATTTCATCTCATGCTACTCTTGAAAGGATGGAGTTTGCTGTTGGCATTCTGGAAGAGCTTGCTGAGGTTGAGGAACTGGAAAAGATGTTTGAGATTCCTCCACTTGATATTGTTCTCAATGATGAATTACTACGTTCTTTAGTTGTCAAGTGGTTAAATCATTTTTCAAAAGAGTTTGAAGGTGGTAAACTTCAACGTGTATTGCACTCCACGCCAGCGGTTCCATTTAAGTTGATGCTGTTGCCTCATCTTTACCAGGACCTTTTGCAGAGGTTGGTTTTGGATATGCTTTTACAAGCTTGTAACTTATCCCTTCTTGAATTTCTTATTCATTGGGAAGTATGCACGCTTTATCAGGTATATAAAACAGCATTGCTCTAACTGTGGTGTTGTCCTGGAGGAGCCCGCATTATGCCTGTTATGTGGTAAACTTTGTTCTCCAAGCTGGAAGACATGCTGCAGGTTCATACACCACCTATTTTATATCTTATTCTTCCTTTGTATTCTCCTAAGGCAAGTTTGCAACTTTGACACTTTCTGTTGCTTCTTAAGGGAAAGCAGTTGTCAAACTCATGCTATGGCTTGTGGTGCTGGTACTGGAGTATTCCTGTTGATTAGAGTATGTTCTACACTTCTAAAATTAGAATTTATCAATTATAGTTATTTATTGGTAATGTTCTTTTATGGATGCATTGGTTTCATATTTGCATAAAATTTAACTTCTTGTAATTGTAGAAAACCACAATATTGCTTCAAAGATCTGCACGTCAGGCACCTTGGCCATCCCCATACTTGGATGCATTTGGTGAAGAGGTAATTTTGAATTTTCTTCATTTTCTTGCTGTTCTGTAGAAATGATACCTCCTTATATGTGCCAGGAGTTTGGGTTACTGTTGGCAGTATGGGTGTCCTACCCACATGGGACTTTTGAATGCATTAAAAAGAAAGGGGCTTAGATATTGTAGTTATCTTCCCTCTTATATGGCATAGGGTAAAAACTCAACTAGCATAATCCCCACTTTTTGTGGTCGGCCACATTGAGTCATACTCCCACTCAGTTTTCTGGAAAGTCATTTTCTCGATTTAATCTTAGGCGATTTTGTTCTTCTCATGACCTAACCCCTATCCTTTTGGCATCTTCAACTTTTATCATACATCTGTGTTTTATGTTATGGCAAAACTTTTGTACAATATTTTGTTCTTTGTTTTACCTCACGTCACTAACATCCCCTCACATCCACAACTGTTACATTCAAAAATATATTTGGGCAGCTCTGGGTCTATGGTCCATCTGACAGTACCAATTATGGGTCCCATGCCTACGTATCGCACTGCGTTGCTGTTAATAAACTCCAATGTGGCCTGTGATATCACTTTGCCAGTACCAGATTGTTATTCTTTTTTGGTCAACAGGGTTTAAGGGCTGATTACAATTGGGTTGATGGCAATTAGGAATGAATACAACCACCCCAAGGAAGTGAGACATGAGCTTGAAGAGTAACAATTATAGTAAAAGCAAATTGTGCCACATCAACCCTTGAAGAGCTTTAATGGGTACTACTGTACTATGAAATTCTTTAAAATGAAATTCTAAATAGTCCTAGATACACGCCAATATACCATGGCATCACCCTTTCTGCTACTGCCCAGGCCTATGTCAGAAACTTTCAAGATATTCTCAACACTCTATTTTAGAAGGGGGGAAAAAGTCTATCTAGTGCACAAGGCTCCCTCCTATGGCGGGATTTGGGAGAGGTGAGGACTCTTACCCCCATTTTGGAATTTGGAGGGGTTGATTCCTGAACTTGAACCCGCGAAAACCAATCAAACAACATATATTGTGAAGCAAATGTGAATTTAGGCTTGACTAACCATCATGGACATTGCTTTAAAAAAAATGGTTTCTCAATTTTGATTATTACCACACATTGGTGAAGGGCACGATGGTTGTTAACACACACGAGTTGCATTGATGAGACGAGACGAGACCATACAAAGGCCATTACCTGGCCGTGGCTCTGGCATTGCAAGGTGCTTGTTGGTTAGAGGCCTTATTTCTGTGGCTAACTTCTTTTTATTGAGAAACCAAACCTTGAGCTTTTACCATTGCACCAAGCAATGGTTTCTTGTGTTGAAGCTATGAAAATAGGCTGCTTTTGTTTCTCTAGAGGATGTTTAGTGTAGTATCATGATGGTTGAGGTTGGTTGAGTTGAGGTGGGCTGTCTCATCTTCAGTAGAAAGCAAACTGTACTTGGGGTAAGTTATCTTTGGACGCTTAAAAAATTTGAGTTTAACCTTTGGGTGTGGTTTATCTCTTCAAGGAAGTTTGAAAAAACAGGAAACATTCTTCAAATATCTACCAAAAAATGATGACATTCATTTCATCCACCACAAGATTTGGTCAATACATCGAAATATTTGCCATTCGAATTACTGAAGTTCTGTAGCAAATGAGTGAATAGGGGGTGCAGCCTTCTATGAACTTATGCTTATGTGCTTTTGAAAAATTGCTGCTGTTTTACAGCTGCTGTTGGGCCAAGGCTGTATGTGTTCTATTTTCTACTATTGCCCTTTGCATCTTTTCAGAATTAAGATATTGTTTTGTCTTTTGTTTCCCACTATTTTCTGTGTGCCACATATGTGCATGCTTTATATATATTTCTTTTGTTTTTTATTTGTGCAGGATATTGAAATGAATCGGGGAAAGCCATTGTATTTGAATGAGGAACGTTATGCATCTCTCAATCATATGGTAAAAAGGCTTATTTTGCTTGTTTTCAATGGACTACATCTTCTGCCATTGCGCAAGTATTTGAACACTGAAACTATGAACACTTCGCTATAGATGTCATTTTGGAATTAGGATGCAATTGAACCCCTTAATCCTTCAATAGGGTGTGTATCATGAGGCTTTCAACATTTGAGTTATAGGGCCCACCTTAAAATGAACACTCCTATGCCTCGACTTGAGGGGCATGCAAGTCATTTGGCCAACTTACAGGGCCTTCTGTTTTAATTTTTAGAATTCTTTTCTGAATTAATTTTTAGGATTAATTACACTTGAGGCCTCCAAAGTATGAGGTTTGTCTCATTTTGGTTCCCAATATTTGAATTTCATAATTTTAGTCCCTGAATATATTTCTATGTGGTTTCTCAAACAAACAGCGTCCAAATTGTTAACGATTTTTTTATTATAAACTTGTCACGTAATACCTAAATATAGCCAGAAAAATAATTTGAATAACTCTTGACCAAATTTCTATCCAAATTTTGGTAATAGAGCTAGCCAAAATACACAGTTTTTATCATGAGTTATTCAAATTTTGGTAAATAGCTATCCATATGCCATATTTTTTGTCAAGAGCTATCCAAATTTTTGTCAAAAGCAACCCAAATTTTGGTCAAGAGTTGCTTAAATTATTTTTTGCCTATATTTAGGTATCACGTGACAAACTTATGATCAAAAACTGTTAATAATTTAGATGTTGTCTACTTGAGGGTTCATATAGAAATATATTCAATACTTCAGGGACCAAAATGATGTAATTAAAATATTGGAGACCAAAATAAGACAAACTCTATACTTTGGGTACCACCATTGCAATTAACCCTAATTTTATATCTGCATGTTTCTTTATGGTATTCAATTACTTGAAATCACAATATTTTGTTGTTTCTATGTACAAACTAAATATGACAAATGTCAACCGTTTCATATTGAAGTTTCTGTTATTAAGTTATTTATGAATTGATATTCTCATCAATTTTTTTTGATTTTAAATATTCTGTATGGTAGGCCTTTTCTCCAACTTTGTCTTGTTGAATTATAATTTGGCATTCACAAACAATACATCCTTGTGCTTTATGCTAGACTTTAGTGTTCACCCCTTCTTTTTCCGATTGTGTATTGTTTCTTGCTGTTTGTTCATGGTGTATTATTTTGCATGCTAGGTGGCTTCTCATGGCCTTGATCGAAGTTCTAAGGTGCTTCGCCAAACGACTATTGGTTCTTTTTTCATGCTTTAGCTTGATGTTATGTTAAAAAGCATTGTACTGCAGGTGTGGTATTAAATATTATTATAGTACTTATCCCATCAAAGCAAAAGGAAAAGAAAAGTCAATCATTGTGTTGCATTTTACTTGTTTGTTTCTCTCTAGGACATCAGTCAGTCACATCTTATTGAGTTATCTTGTCTGGATTTGCAGGTAACAAAAGACATTTTGTTAAGATTTTGATATCAAAGTGATAGTAAACTGATCTCCAAATGCCAAGATTGTGTAATTGTCTACATTTCAAAATTTTGGTTCTGCACAAAGGATGCTGGTTGTTGTTGCCTTCTGTTGGTGTCTAATGTACAGTTCATACAGGTTAGTGTTTTTGGGGGTGGATACAGGTTAGTGTTGAAGTTATTTTTATGGTGGTAATTTTTCTTATGATGGTTCGTAATACTGTGACAACCAATATTCATGCTCCCCCAGTTCCTTCTAACAGAAAAAAAGATTTACCTGTGAGGAAGATTTCTATAGGCAAGAGGACGGCAATGCTTCATAATGACAAGATTTTATACTCAGAAATTATCTCTTAGAATTTATGTAACAAAAAAAGAATCTTTATTTTTCTTGGAAAAATTGTCTAGTTTAATGATTATGGAATTGTGTTCACTAAAAGGATAATCTGTTTTTCTTTTGGGTGTTGCAATTGTCACAATAACAATTGACAATTCACACACAGCATATTAAAATTCCAAATAACTGAAGGAATATAGGAGAGTGCTGACCTAAGGAAGGTTGCGGGCTGATTGTCAGAGGTTTTGAGGTGAAAAGAGGCTGTTCTGAATGCTGTGAGCTGTACTTTGCAACGGTAACTATGGCTTGGTTGGGTATTTTAGGGTTTAAGGGGAAAATGATGGGTCACATTAGAAAGTGTACTCAGCAGGGTAAGAGCCAATGAGACCACTAAATAGGCCAGGAGCTCAGATGGTCAAGTAAAAGGATTGACGAAATGTATGCCATTTCATAAGTCAGCTTGGATTGGGTAGAGGATTGAGGAGATGTATGGATTGACGGTTGTATCAAGGGCTTTATGTTAATGGATGATGAGATTTGTGACCTATTTAGAGATGAGAGAGAGGTCTGCTTAGTAGATTTGAATTCATTGCAGATAATTATTTTCAAAAATTTTGTGTATCATTTGGATCAAAAATGGGTTTTGGTTCGTCCTACATCCATCTGTGTTGAAACAGCTTTGGCAGCTTATCTCAAGTTTATTGCATCTCTTGTTTATACTGTTGCTTCTTTTCTGATCCATTTATATTTTTTGGCAGATAATCGGGATTTGATCTCCAGCAAGTGGTGGATTTGTTGAAGGTCAACTAGATCCTCCTCGCCAGAGCCTCCAGAATGTACAGCATTTTTTTTTTTTTTGGGTGCATAAAGAGGCCTGACGTTTCTCATAATCCATCCATTACAGTAGGTTGCAAAATGTGAATATTTTTCTATTTATGTCAGTATTTGTGGCTCTTTTTTTTAAAGCATATAAACATTTTGAATCATTTTCAACATTTTTGCTCCCTATTCTTGATTTTTGTTTGTGTGACTATTACTCTCACACCTCTCTCTCTCTAGATAGCAACCGGACTGTGCCTTGCAAGTGCTCTACAAGCGTCCCTCAATCTTTCTTCCCAACAAACATAAGCCCATTTATCTTTTGCTTTGGAAGATGGGCGCTGTGTTCGGTTTCAAAAGGCATGGTTTTCGAATGTCTCCAGAGAGGCCTCCACTGTTCTGGCTAGCTAGTGAGCAGTTCTTTTTTGGCGGCAGCTAGTTCTTTCTTTGAACGGGAAGCAGTCGGGCCTCAGTTTGGGTGCCCCCATATTTATCCTGTATACCATGTTAATGTGATGGCACGACATTCTAAATGAATCCACGTTGGAAGAACATCATGACTAATTAGGACCTCAATATAATTCTCTTCTGTTTATCGTATCAGAGGATAAGCTCTTTTTGCCTTTTGGGGGGGGCCTTCTCATTCTTCTTTAGCAACTATAGTAGAGATCGGAAGTCTTTGGCACCCAAAAGGGATTGGGTTTCAGATCCATACATCGGATAAAAATCTTATTTATATTTTAAAACCCCTCTAGCAGCATGGGTTCAAAGTATCGTGGCAGTAAGATAATTTTTCAAGCTAAAATAAGTTGGGTGTCATCGGGTTTGATGTTTCTTCAAGTTGGGAAATTGCTATATTCAGGTAGTCTTGATGTTTGGCACAGTTGGATAAAGGGCCAAAAAAAAATGCCATCATCAATCAATCACATGGGAAGTTGCCGATGAAGAAGTGAGTTGCAGTCACTGCCAAAGGAGCTACGAACCTATATGGACGAAATTAATCCCAATTCAAAAGATGCAAGAATAGCTCGGAATGGCCATGGATTGCTTGTTCTCAAGATTACACTCCTCTACTTTCACATAAGCCATTTTGTTTTAAACATCAATACCAAAAACCCAGTACCCTAGTCAAAATTTACAGCCGAGTGTCGGTTAGAAATGAGAGGCTGCTCTTACTTTCCCTCAAGCAAGCCAGGGGCCTTGAGCAAGGGCAAGGAAAAGTAAGAGTCGGGCTCATTTCTCATCATAAACCCAACTCTAAGAAAGACCTTACCATTGATGTTTGTAGTCAATTCCTCTTCTCAGCCAGCATGAACCCCTACAGAACATGTTGATGGAAGCACCTGGATTCAGAGAATTTGCCATTTGATACGTTCCGCAACGTTTCTAGCAACCATAGAACCATTGCTAGCAAACGCATAGCACATTAATCCGTAAGCAGAAACTAATTTCCCAAACATACAAACTCAATATGCCCACGCAATATAGTATCACCAACACATGCTATAGTATCAACCTTTCTGCTAGGGGATCATTAATGACAGCCAAAACACAGATAATGAAGGGGTTCCATTCATTCCTTCTCAAAATACATGAAACAAATCTATCTTAGTCCAACTTATTTGATATCTCGTAAACTGCAAATCTCAAAGAAATTCTCAGATCCCAAAGAAGGGCAAAACCCAGTTGACAGGAAATCTGAAAAAAATAAACATCTCCCCATCTTAAAGCATTTCCAGTTGGTACAGAAGCACAAAACTATATCAGGGACATCTTAATCTGGCGTAGCTGCACCTTGGTTGAGCTCTGCAAATCTCATGCCAACACGCATAGAGTGCTTCAAAAACTTTTCAGCACAACGGCGGACACAGGTCTCCTCTTGTTTGTCTAGGGATTTGCGTCGGAAGGTGTCCACGCAATCAGTGAAGCATCTTTCCACCAATGAATTATACATCCTTAAACTGCAAGAGGGGAAAAATATATTACGATTCCCAGCACAAAGTTTTTATCTTTTGCATCACCTAATAATATTTCACCATTATGTTTTGTTCCTTCCAGATTTCAAAATCCAGAACTGTAAGAGAAAATACTGCAGCTTCTGACACAGAAAATCCAAATTGTTGAAGCAAAGTTAATAGAATGGACCAGGAAGTTTCACATTGCAGAGTGCCACTACAACTCTGATATAAATTCAGTTCTCAGAATACCAACCACTATTTATTAAAGCTATTAAGCACAGACAAATATGTTATATGGATGCAATACAAAATGCACACATGGACTCGAAAATCCTACAAAACTAAGTCGCGGAGACAAATAGGACATGCTGCAAATAACTATTATTTGTCAGAGAATATAGGATTTTCGTTATATACATATAATTCACTAACGAAAAAAACCGTTGCTTCTCTAACAATTACTAGCTGGGGGAGAAGCAAGTTGCACACTGCAACCCCACCCAACAAATTGCATGACACTGTCACTAGGATTTCGGAGGATTCTTGAAGTCCAGAGACTAGACGCTAGGTTGCAGACAATTTCTGTAAACACGTGCTAGCCAAGCCAACTTTGAGCTATGGTTGTGCTTAGCAAACAAGAATCCCAAAATTCTTTGTTCCATTTGGTCGTGAGTTACATAATCTCCATTTTCACTTTCTTTAACTTGAGTTTTCCGCAAAAAATTGTGTAGGTTGATGGAAAAAGTTCAAAAAAACACTGGGCTTTCAATTTAACATTCCAAACGACCAAAACTCCCCTACAATTAGGCTCAAATCCTCAACTCATCCAAGCGGTTGCAAAACACCACATAAATATATATTCCCCAATTATCTCAAGATGTATTACAATGGAAAATGTTCTTCAATTCAGTATTTTCCCAAATATTACAATTAGCTCGCATATGCTTTTACTTTAACAAAACCTCCCATACTCGGAATCTCAGTTTAACCCTCCTCTGGGGTCTTGATTCTGATCAACATACTGACCCAAACCCAACTTTCATATATATATATATATATATATATATATATATATATATATATATATATATATATATATATAGAG